TTTCAATTGTACGTAATTGTTTATACTCTGTGTATACTTTTCTATACTTTGTCCTTGTATTTGATTTTTGATTTGAAATTCCCCCCAAAATGAAAATTCAGCTTGCCCCCAAAACTGATATATATATACAAATCTGAAATATCCCTCTCATATCTGAAATATATATAGTCAACCTGAAATATCCCTCTCATTTCTGAAATATGCAAATTGAACTCCATGATTAAGTGCAACCGAGAAAGAAGGCAACCAAGAACCAGACATAGATTTTGAAGAAAGAAGAAGCTGAACTTGTGACGTTTTGTGGAAGACAAAGGATCTCTATTCAAAGAAGTTCCGTTTAGAAAAATCACCATACATTCTGGCGAGAAGCTGAAGCTCCGATCATCCTGTCCAGCGAGAAGCTGAAGCTCTGATCATCCAGTCCGGCGTAATTTATACATCTTCTTTATGCACCGTATTATTGCATCTTTCCAAAATCGTATTTGAGTTTCAATTTTCAATTTCTCCTCAAACGGAAAGTTGACCTTTCCCAAAACTCTGCTATATATACTATTTTTAAAATATCAAATAGGAAAGAATTTGAAATCTCCGGTGAAGAAACTCTCCCCAAAACTCTGCTATTTATTTTTTTGTGTAAAAAACTCTCTTGGTGAAAGTTGAAGAGGCATAGCAAACAAAAAGAGATCTAGTCGGAAAAATCAGCATATATTTCAGCGACAAGCTAAAATTTCCGAAAAGGAGAGATTCCCCCAAAATATTTCCGATAGTCTGGCGAGAAGCTGAAGCTCCGATCATTATAAGTATAAGGTTATTATTTTGAATTTCTTGTAACTTTATTCATAATGATATATCAAAGTTTATCTTATATGGTGGCAATCTAGTGGTGATTATTGGTAATCAAAAAATTTGAAGGCTGGGTTCATCACCTACTTTTTGTAACAGCATACAGATCAATTTATTATGTTCACAACTTATTAAAACATGTATCATGTATGAATTGCATATTGCATCAACATATTTTCCTAACACGTTAAAAAAATTAACTTCTACAACTTAATTTCACAATTTCTAAATTAATAATAAGAATCACAAATACTTTCAATATATATGTAGGAAGATTTGCATATTCCATTACTTACTTTTTGTAATAACATACAATACAAAAGTTAGATAGATCAAATTATTATTATCACAACTTTTTAAAACATGTATCATGTATGAATTGCATATAGCATCAATATATTTTTTTAACACGTTAAAAAAATTAACTTTTACAACTCAATTTCATAATTTCTAAATTAATAATAAGAACCACAAATACTTTCAACATATATGTAGGAAAATTTGCATTTTTCATCACTTAATTTTTGTTAGGGGTGCACACGGTTCGGTTCGGTACGGTTCCTATTGGAACTGAAACTAGTTTGAATGGTTCCTAAAAAATGGAACCGGAACCGTGAGCTGTGGAACCGTTGACCAAACTGAGACCGGAAGGAAAGACTGAGAGAAGAGACGAAGATCTGAGTAGAAGTGATTGAATCAGAAGCTGAGAAGAGAAATGATTTAATTAAATCAGAGGCTGAGAGGAGAGGCTGAGATAGCCAAGTAATTTCTCCTTAACTCTTGCCAAAAGATGTTGTCAATTTCCGAGCACCGCCTCCATCTCCGATCGGCTCCCGTCGCCGATCATCAGTCACAAACGTCGACGTACTCACTGATTTTCTCAAACACTCTCTCCGCGTTCTGGACCTTATTTTACTAGATCGAGTCTTCCCTTGCTAAAATCGACAAAAAACCCTCTTAAAATTGACTTAATTAAATCAGAGGCTGAGACAGAGACCGATCTGACCGATCCAACCGAATCCAATGAATCAGAGGCTGAGAGGAGAAACAAGAGCCGCGAGTCCGGTGACTCAGTGAGAGGGCCGAGAGGTTGAGAGGAGAAGAGAGGGCTGAGAGGATAGGAGACTGGAGAGGTGAGGCTGAGAGGAGAGTTTGAGAGGTTTGGTAAAGTGGTGAACCCAAAACTTAGGTTTAGGTTTTGAGAGTTACAAGACTTTTGTCATTTGTGATTTTAATCTGAATTCTGAAATGAATATGTGGATCAGTGGATGTGGTCACTTTGAAACTTACAGTCTAGACACGGCCCAGTCGCCCACAGCCCACAAGTAGAATCATATATAATGTGTGTGTATATATATATATATATATATATATATATATATATATTACGGTTTGGTTCTGGAACCGGAACTGTGAGACCGGAACCGGAACCGGAACCGGAACCGAACCGAATCTAAACGGTTCCTCGTTTTAAGAACCGGAATCAAAAGAACCTGAAATTTGGTTCCGGTTTCGGTTCCACGGTTTTTTTGTGCACCCCTACTTTTTGTAACAGCATACAATACAAAAGTTAGATAGATCAAATTATTATTATCATAACTTTTTTAAACATGTATCACATATGACTTGCATATAACATCAACATATTTTTACGTTTAAAAAATTAACTTCCACAACTCTAAAATCTATATAATTAGTCAATTATTTTAAAACCCTAAAATCTCAAATAAATCTATATTTGGATACTGAACTGTACCGATACATAATCAATGTTTAAGATTTGTAATTTTACTGAAAATGAAAGGAATAAAATATTTTTGTATATAATATATTATTATACATATATTTGGATACTGAATTGTAATTTGTATATATATTTTTGTATATATATAATGTATAATTGTATGTTGTATGGAGATTTTAATTTTATTGAAAGGGAATGGAATAAAATATTTTTGTATATAATATATTGTTATACGTATATTTGGATACTAAACAAAATATTTTTATATATAATATATTGTTTTACGTATATTTGGATACTAAATTGTGATATATTTTTGTATTTAAGATTTGTATATATATAATGTATAAGTGTATGTTGTATTGAAATTTGTAATTTTATTTAAAAGGAATAGAATAAAATATTTTTGTATATAATATATTTTTGTATATAAGATTTGTATAATATTTGTATATATATTTTTGTATATATATAATGTATAAGTGTATGTTGGAGATCGTACTTTTTATTTGGCTGCTGTATTAGTACAAGTGGTAAAAAAAAAGTACATCATTAACTTTGTTGACTATGTTGCTGACTGGGTGCTGAGTTGTCGTGTGTCAGGCGCTGATGTGGCAAAAAGGGCTGAGATGGTTTGATCTCAGCCCTTGGATTCTCACTAGATTCTATCCAGTGAGAGGTGCACCGGAGCAGATTGGATCCGCAAAAGCCCACAATGACAAGTGTAGCAAAAGCCTACAACCACGAATATTTCCGGTCTCATTACAAAAGTTGGAGTTCTAAAGCCATGGCAGAACTCATCAAGGCCGTGATGAAGAAGGTTGCCCAATAACTTGGTTGGCGTACACCATGGTTCAAATATTGGCTGCTAAAGTTGCTCGTGCCCATCACATCCCATCCGCACTTCTATGGACTCAACCAGCCATGGTTTTCGATATCTACTACTATTACTTCAATGGTTATGGCGATGTCATTAGAAAATTTGTCAATGACTAGGCGTTTGTGGACGGACTTGGAGATGGTCATTAGCTGCTAGGAGTGAAATCTCATTCATGAAAATGATAACGATGTATTTGAAGAATTGATAATTATTTTGGTTGTAACAGTGTAGCACTTCGTATGTCAAATTAAGCATAAGCAATAAAATTATTAGTTTATGATGAAAATATGACTTCTTTCCTACTTTTCTTCTTCCAAATGTTTCTTTCATTTTTGTGTTTTAACATGTGGCTATATGTTTTGTGGACAAAACAACTGAATCAAATCAATTTGGAAGTCGAAATGGGTGGTATAGGTCAAGAGATTATATGAGCATAAACAGAAAAGTAAAATTAATGATAGAAATTTTACAAAGGTCATCCTAACAATTGATTAATTAAAAAAATTCAATGATTTATTGAAAATACACTCATGTCGAATATAAAAAATTCTCAATGACTCAATTACAAATTTATTGTGACTCACATACATTAAAATTCATACCAAACTCTCTCCTAGCTATCTAGCTAGCTACCATTCTTCTAATATTGTTGCTATATGAGGAAGGCTCGTAACATCACTTTCCGCTGCCTTGCTTAGTTTTGGCGTCCTTTTCCTATCATCCCCATTGCCAAAGTTTTATATACATTTGTCTCTACAGAAATGTGACCGATCACCATCCACTTTGTATCTATATATATATATATATATATATATATATATATATATATGTGAGTTATGCAATGATGAAGGTACTCTCACGATAAGCTCTCGCACTCTCAGTTCATTGAATCTGACGCACTTCACTTAAAAACACGCGGGTCTTACAATTTCCTATATATACTAAAGAGAGAGAATAGTTTTCACAAGTTAAACGCTTTGAAACAATCGGCTCTAGCAAAATTCTCCTCTCCTTGGGGAGATTGAGTGTTCTAGTGAAAAAAATAAAAAAATAAAAAAAAATAAAATAAACCTTTTATTTTTTTAAAAGGTTCAAAAGAAACAAAACAAGTCACCCCAACCAGAGGCTAACCTACTAAGAGTTACAAAACAACTCTAAAAAAAACCTCAAACAGCCAAACAACTACAACGCGGCATAAAACTGGATGTAAGCTACAGACCAACTAAAAACTTCACTGTTAACAAGAGGGAATCTGTAAAACAGGAGGAAATTTTACGATTTGTCATATCAGTAGCAGCTACGAAGCCAAGACAGAGACCAGGTTAGACTCTAATAGCAGAATAGCTCATGTCTGTCGTCAGCATCATTCGTATACTAGTACACAAAAAATTATTAATTGAGCATGTGCATGACTTGTCGACAAAACTCAGCAAGTTCACTTGAACTAGCAAACGCAAAGTAGAAAACGAAATCTTCCAAATCGTCATGACAAACGTCACACCCTCCACCTACAATCCTAGTATAAAACCCCTATCCCTATGGAATTCAATGCATGCCCATCAAGTCTCCTGAGTCTCAAACTCACAACCTTTTACAACTTGCATTGACTAGTTCCCCTACCTCACCACCGTTATCACCACCACCACCACGGGTATGGATAACCACCACATTCTTCTTGTGACTTTTCCGGGACAAGGCCACATCAATCCATCCCTCAATTTCGTCAAACGCCTCGTGACAAGGGGTGTCAGAGTTACTTTTGCCACTAGCCTCTCTGCCATCCAACGCATGAACAAAACCACCCCAACCCCACAAGGCTTAACCCTCTCCCCCATCTCTGATGGCTACGACAACGGCTTCAAAGCTGAGGAAATCGAAGAAGTCATGACCTCACTCCAGATTAAAGGTTCCCGAGCTGTCGCGAGTCTCATCCATGCCAGCAGAGACGAAGGCCGCCCCATCACACGTGTGCTCTACACCACACTTATCCCATGGGTAGCAGAAGTGGCACATGACCTTCACATCCCATCCACACTTCTTTGGATCCAACCGGCAGCCATTTTGGACATCTACTACTATTACTTCAATGGGTATGCTGATGTTATTACGAAAAATAGCTGTGACCCTTTTTGTCCCATTGAACTGCCAGGACTTCCATTGCTCACTAGCCGTGACATTCCTTCCTTTTTACTCCCTACAGACTCCTTCAAATATGCACTCCCAGCATTCAAAAAGCACATAGAGATACTCGATGCCCAAACAAATCCACAAGTACTAGTAAATACATTCGACGCTTTGGAATTTGATACTCTAAGAGCTATCAAAAAGCTCAACATGATTCCAATTGGGCCTTTAGTCCCATCAGCGTTTTTGGACGGAAAAGATCCATCTGATACTTCAAATGAAGGCGATATGTTTCAGAAGTCGACGGAGTATGTAGAGTGGTTGAACTCAAAGCCTCAGTCGTCTGTTGTTTATTTATCATTCGGAAGCATTTCCGTGTTTTCAAAGAAACAAAGGGAAGAGATGGCATACGGGTTGTTGGAAAGCCAAAGGCCCTTTTTGTGGGTGGTGAGAAAAACTGATCAATATGGTGAGAAGGTCGAACACGAAGTAAGTTGCATGGAGGAATTGGAGAAGCAAGGGATGATAGTGCCATGGTGTTCTCAAGTGGAGGTTCTGTCACACCCATCACTGGGATGTTTCGTGACGCATTGTGGGTGGAATTCTACGTTGGAGAGTTTGGTTTCCGGGGTTCCAATGGTGGCGTTTCCACAGTGGACGGATCAGGGGACTAACGCAAAGCTGATCACAGATGTTTGGAAGACCGGGGTGAGGGTGACGATAAATGAAGAAGGAATAGCTGAGAGGGAAGAGTTTAAGAGGTGCATAGATATGGCGATGGGGGATGAAGAGAAAGGGAAAGAAATGAGAGGAAATGCCAAGAAATGGAAGGAATTGGCAAGGGAAGCTGTGAAGGAAGGTGGGTCCTCGGACATGAATCTTAAAGCCTTTGTCAGTGAAATTGGAAATTAATTAAAAGCTTGTTTAGGAATTAGTAGGATGAACTTTGTTCTTGATCGAATCTTCGTTTTGTTCATTTTGGTTTGTTGTTACATTTGTAATTCATGTGATACGTGCCTAAAAGGTCATGTCTTTGGCATGCAAATTTAGAATCAATTAAAAATAAGAGAGTGCATTTGTAACATGAACTAGCTTCATTTTCATATTATATATATGTATAGATGTGGAGAGATTTCAAATGTAGAGATAAAGAGAACACTGATGTTTTTCATATGCTTCGCTAGTGATAGACTTCTCTTCAACTTCTTTTTCTCATTGACATTACATAAAATTATTCTGTTCATTTTAAAAAACAGTTTTTTTCAACAAGAAAATTATCCATCCAAATCATTTAGGAAGCTGAAATGGGTGGTCTATGTCAAGAGATTAGATAGATAAGCATTAACAGAAAAGTAAAATTAATTAGTGATAGAAAGTTTACAAAGAGGTCATCCAAACAACTTTGGGTTGACATAGTGGAAAAGGTTTGGGCCATTTTCCTTAGGTGCAAGTAATTCTTTGGGGGTTACGACTGCAAACACAGTCTGAATTTTACCCAATTCGTGTAGGATCGCCTTACGCAGATCCCGTGGATTAATCGAGGCAAAGCCCCAACTCCCAAGCAAAATTTTCAATGATTTATAGTATACAAACTTTGCCGAAGAGCAAAAAATTCCCGATTCAGCGCATGTTATTGACTCAACCACAAATCCACTGTGAATCATAATAAAATATAAATACCAAACTGTCTATCCAATCTATCTACCATTCTTCTAATCTTGTTGTTATGTGAGGATGGCAAATTTTATACCTTGCCAACATCACTTTTTGCTGCTTGGCTAACGTTTAGCAAAGTTTATCTCTGTCGTATGAACATACAGAGATAAACTTCAAGATCAAGTACTCAAATTTCTCACCATAAACGTCATGTTAACAAGCTACAATCATTATATATATATATATATCTCGCTCTCATCTCAATGCAACATCAAGTCAATAAGAATGAATAAACATTTGCAGATGAGGCATATTATTAGTGTGTTTTTTTTTTTTTTTTTGTCAGAATAATTTGAACCCCAAGAAGGATTGTGGATAAATTAAAAAAAAATTAACAACTTATTTTATAAAAACATCCCCACAAAATGGCGCAAGTAATCTGAATTTCTTCACAAAACGAAAGAAGGCCGGCCATGCATCTTCTGCTAAAACATCTTCAAGGAGTCACGCTTGGGAGCTTGCACGATCCATGGCCTACAAAATAATCATTATTGAAAAAAATATATATATCAGTAGTTTGATAATGATAATACACAATTATTGTCATAATTCGTATGTTACAAGCTGTTAGGTGTTTTCAGTGTAATTCAAGACAGTACATAATATTTTGCCTTGCATGAATAAATTAAGGATAATTTTTGAATGTTTTTCTAACAATGGATATAAAATAAGACATGATGGCATAAGATTTTTATTTATTAATATTTATTTTTCATGTGAAATGCTGAATGAGTGAACCTATACCAAAAACCTGGGTTATTTTTATTGTTATTTGTTATTATATATGTGTGTGTGTGTGTGTCTCATATTTGTGTTCTTGAGACTGCCTATTCATCTTAACAACTATATTTTCCTATGAATTTGTTATCTGAACTTACTTGGGTCCGTGGTGGTTTGAACTGCGAGGCCATTGAAGTGGCAAGAGGCTCCAATGCTCCGAAACTTGGCCCAATACGAGCTAAAAGCATAGCCTGCATGAGCCATCACTGAGAGAGGCTCATAGCACTCCTTCCCGGGTTTAATGGCATCACAAGTCCCATTACCCTGACCACAAGCAAAATCTAACGCAGACTGGAGCTCCACTACATCCGCACCACTCCCCGGAACACACCATAGCTTCTCCGGCTCCGGGTCCCTTAGGTAGTCCGACTCCGACCGCTTCCCGGTAAGGTCTAACTCATAATTTGCCCTTCCATTTGGTTGCACCAGCCCCCAGTGTCGCTCTGTCCCTGGACCACTTTTTTGGTTCTCATCATACAACGCAAATATGAATGTTGGTGTGACGGAACCAGGCCGAGCCGGGGTCCCAATTGGTGGTGTTGCAGTCATTTTCCGGACTAAGTTCCGGTTGTAAGTAGCTGCATTGTACATGTTTGCTCCCGGTTGATCAATGTCTCCTCCATTAGGCCACCCCGTCTCGGCTATAGCAATCCTCATATTGTCATACCCCATTTTAGCCATGGCGAAAACCACAGAGTCCAGCATTTGGTCTAAGAGGTTGGTATAAGTCAATCCGGTACCGGGGTCCGTGTACGTCAGGTTACCGGCATTTAACAAGGCGAAGTCAAGGTTGATGTTGGACGGGTCCGCGGACCAAGGAAAGTAAGGGTACACATCTATGAAAAAGAACGAATTAGTCCGGTTCAAGAAGTGTAGTAACGGTGCAATAACCAATTCCGTTACGTCCCACCTAAATACCCCATTTGAAGGTGGAAATGTTCCTTCCATAATGTCCATTGCCAATGGGGTCCCAACTTTGATGTTCCAAATGTTGTGGGCTGTCACTGCCTTCTCAATTTTTTCCATTGCCGGCACAAGATCGTGCCATTTTTGGCGATCACTCTCCGAGTTGTAGCTGAGGACTTCATTTCCGACAAGTATGGACCTGATCTTGGTGTTGGGATAGTAAGGAAGGACATTGTCATGTACCCATTGGTCTGCTAAAGCTTGGCTTGAAGCAATGTTTGATATTTGTTCATTTGTGACCATGACCGAGACACAAAGCTTTGTCCCGGATAGCAATCTTAGTATTTCAGGGTTGGCGTCGTAGAGCTTGATGCCACCGGCTTTCATGGTTTTGAGGAGCTGAATGGACTGGTATGGAGATGGCAAGTTGTCCCCTAGACGCCCATAGTTTACACCCATACGGCTAGAAGAGGCTGCATCTGTCAAATTAAGGAAGTTAAAGAAGGGTTAGTACTAAAAATCGATAACATGCGGATCACAGAGCTAGCGAGGTTGAGTGTTCGACCACTGTTAGAGACAATATCGTGGAGTATATATGGTTCATTTGCTTGAATTGTTTAAAAAAAAAAAAAAACTTACATGATAAAGCAAGTAGGGAAGATAAAAAGAGATCAAAACAACAGTCGAACAATGTTAGGGACAATATTATAAGATGTAGCGTAAAAAAATAAAAACTTACATGATAAAGCAAGCAGAGAAGATAAAATGAGAGCAAAACAACACATCTTGGTTGCTTTGTGTTTGTCCATTTCATAAGAATGCAGGAGAGTAGTGTTAGCTATGTTTTATGAGGGGGGGAGAGAGAGATGAGAGAGTAGTTAATGTTTGTTGTGTGTGTAGAAATTAAGGGAAGATGATGGATTATATATATAGTTGAGAATGTTAAGGAAGTGATGGAACTGTTCAACTACCAGACATAAAAGGCCTTAAACAACCCAATGATCTTTGTGAGAGTTTGATTAAGAAAGCAGGATTTAATAGTTGATTGTGTTGCAAGAAAATGAAAGGAAATGAGACATACATTTAAGTAGTGAAGTAATGATATATTAAGGAAATGTGACAAAGATGACTTAGAAGGATGGGACATTGGCCTTCTTTGGTTCGATCTTTTTTGTCTGAAATTTCTATTGAAATACAAAGAAGATTGTGAAGGTGAGAAGCGGTTTCAATTTCATGAATTGGGGAGAGGCTTTGCCTGAGAGACAAACTGCACTAGTAAAATGGTCTCATACCTTGTTTGTGACAAGAAACCTGAATCCTTTGTCACTAGAATTCCCTCTTCTTTTCTTTCTTTTTTTTTTTTTTTTTTTTTTTTTTTTTTTTTCGCCGACACGGAATCTCAGTCTTGAATTTTAAACTTTCTACTAAATTTTTTAAATTCATGTAATCAATTCAGTGCTCCTAAACATGGTATAATTTTGTTACAAATCAAAATCGAAAAACACATATTTTATTTAAGAATGTAATACAATTAATTGCTTTGAGAATGAAATATCCATTTAATTTGAGAATGCAAAAATTATCAATTTTTGAAGAAGTGACGGGTATTACTTTGTCAAAGCAGTTAGTGTTATATGAAATAAACACACATATTTTACTTCACGAATGTAACACAATTAATTGCTTGGAGAATGAATTATCCATTTAATTTAAGAATACAAAATTTATTTATTTTTGAAGTGAGCAAGTATTGCATTGTCAAAGCAATTAGTGTTATTATTATTATTTTTTTTAAAAAAGGCACACCCATTTTACAACAAGAATGTAACACAAATAAAAAAATATATAAGAGTTAGGCCCATTTAAACAATGATTCCATTCAAATCACACAAAGGCAGAGAGGCCCATTCAAGACCAAGTTTAGACCAAGCAACAAATAGCCCAAGAGCATATGCCCAAATCAAATACGGTTTCCTTTGCAATCGTTAGAGAAGGCGCTATACATTTTCGTACATGTGTAATATAGTTCAGCTGGTATGAATGCATATTGGACTGAATCTCACCTCCTTCGACAACTCCAACTCTGTAGCAGACGACGAACCCCATTTCAAGGCAAGAAATTTCATGCCCATATCATCAAAATGGGCATAGAACAATCTGTTCCATATTTCAACGATCTCTTAAACATGTATGGGAAGTGCGGTCTCATAGAAGACGCCAATCAACTGTTCGACGAAATATCCCAAAGGGACTTAGTTTCATGGGCTTCAATTCTCACTGCTCACAACCAAGCCAACCTACCGCACCGTACCCTCTCCATCTTCCCCAACATGTTATCTCTTGATGGGTTGCAGCCAGACCACTTCGTCTTCGCTAGCCTCACGAAAGCTTGTGCTAGCTTAGGCTCTTTAAGAATAGGCAAGCAGGTGCATGCCCGCTTTGTCTTGTCGCCATTTTCGGATGATGATGTTGTTAAGTCATCACTTGTTGATATGTACGTGAAAGGTGGATTGCCTGATGATGCGCGTTTGGTTTTTGATTCAATTGGTTGGAGAAATTCGATTTCTTGGACTGCTATGATTTCTGGGTATGCTCGAAATGGACGGAAATCAGAAGCTGTTGAACTCTTACGAAGTATGCCGGAGAAGAATTTATTTTCTTGGACTGCTTTGATATCTGGGTTGGTACAGTGTGGACACTGGATTGATGCATTTAAACTGTTTATTGAAATGAGAAGAGAAGGGGTTTATATTGCAGACCCGTTTATTCTTTCTACTGTTGTTGGAGCTTCTGCTAATTTAGCGGCGTTGGAACTTGGAAAGCAAATCCATTGCTTAGTTGTAGCTCTTGGTTATGAATCTAGCTTATTTGTTAGCAATGGGCTGGTTGATATGTATGCGAAATGTAGTGATGTGATGGTGGCAAAGAACATTTTTGATACTATGTGCCAAAGGGATGTAGTTTCTTGGACTTCTATTATAGTTGGGATGGCTCAACATGGGCGAGCGGAGGATGCATTGTCGCTGTATGATGAGATGATTTTGACTGGACTAAAGCCAAATGAAGTGACGTTCGTTGGATTGATTTATGCTTGCAGCCATGTCGGGTTAGTTAGCAAAGGGCGTGGTCTTTTTAAATCCATGGTTGATGATTATGGATTAAGTCCTTCCCTGCAGCATTATACATGCGTATTGGATCTTTTCAGTCGGTCAGGGCACCTTGATGAGGCCGAGAATCTTCTCAATACAATGCCATTCAAGCCTGATGAAGCTTCTTGGGCTGCTCTCTTATGTGCTTGTAAGCGCCACGGAAATACCCAAATGGGAATTAGGATTGCTAATCATCTATTGAACATAGAGCCAGTAGAGCCTTCAACCTATATACTGCTGTCCAATACATATGCTGGTGCTGCTATGTGGGAAAATGTGTCTAAAGTGAGGAAGTTGATGGCAAGCATGGAATTCAGGAGGGAACCTGGTTACAGTTGCATTGACTTAGGAAAGGAGAGCCAGGTCTTTTGCGCCGGGGAGATATATCATACCATGAAGGATGAAATTTTTGGTTTGCTTAAGGAGTTGGATGTAGAGATGAGGAAAAGAGGTTATGTTCCTGATACCAGTTCAGTTTTACATGACATGGAGGAGCATGAGAAAGAAAAACAGCTCTTTTGGCATAGTGAGAGGCTGGCTGTGGCTTATGGACTGCTTAAGGCTGTTCCTGGGACAGTTCTACGGATAGTGAAAAATCTCCGTGTTTGTGGAGATTGCCATACTGTCCTGAAGTTCATCTCAAGCATCGTGGAAAGGGAAATTATTGTCCGGGATGCAAGCAGGTTTCATCACTTTAAGGATGGAAGATGTTCATGTTGTGATTTTTGGTGATGGTGCTATTTCGATTGTGAATAGCGTTATTTCTTTATGCTTCTGCCATGTATTGGCAATTGATTCGAGATCCTAACTTCAAGGATGTTTTATGCTCCATTCAGGTGATTAGTTACAAAATACTACAGCTTTATATTACCTTTAATGTTGATGATATGTTGTTGAGTTAGAGGCTTTGAGAAGTGGCCGATACCATTATGTGATGCAGCTCTTTTATGGGCCAAAGTATCGGTGAAAATATAAACCATAGGACAACACTGTTGCAGTCAAAATAATATTTTTATTTTTATTATTATTATTATTATTTTTTTTGTGGGATATGAGTTTCATCTGTACATGCAGTTAAAAAGTTTGCAGAGATAGTATTTGCAATTTTTTATTTTTCTCCATTTTGTATAAACTTTCTGTTGAGTTTTGTTGAATTTACGGAACTGTTTGCCCTTTTTTTTTTATTATTTTTTTTAATTTACAAATTAGTAAAAACCTAAAACTAGTTTTGTTTTTTGTTATTTTTTATTTTTTTTTATTGGGTTAGTTTTTCCTCATCTGAACTTTTGGGAGAACAGAGAACTCATCTTCGGTTTGCTAGTGTTTCAGTTTCACTGTATACAAGGAGGTCATAATACATAGAACAGAACATTACATAAATGTTTCCTTTCGGGGCAAAGAAAAATGAGATGTATCTTAGATCTATGGACTCCAAAATGTTGGAATATAGCTGCTCATATTGATCTATTGACTATTAATCATTAGACATCCTCATAGCTGCTCATATTGATCTATTGACTATTAATCATTAGACATCCTCATGCATCTTCGTCTCTTTTGTTACTCAAATTTAGAGTCATCCATCTTCAAGATGTGAGCATTACTGTTTAGTATTTTTTGGGCCTTAAAAAAAATAAATAAAAACCACTTTTGGTTATGGAAAATGATATTCAGGCGGAAGACTTCCGAACACTTTGCATCCATGGGATGCAAAGTGCTAGGATCCACTCTGGGTCCCATCACGTGCATCCTATGGATGCAAAACGTTCAGCCACTGAAGTCTTCGGCTCTCATGGAGTAGTCCTTTGGTTATATAAGAGCCTTTGCTCCTTAATCAGATCAGCAAATAATCTCCTGGTTTGACATGTGAGGGATCAGAATAATAAGTAGACCAAAGAAGGATATTCCACTCTCTTTCCCCATGTTTTTATCAAAAAAGCAGTTGCCCTGGAATAAAATTCCAATAATTCAATGTGAAAATTTTGGTACGTTGATAAAAGAACTGGCTGTGCGAGAAGATGTTTTCGATTCTGAGAGTAGCCACTCTGTGCAAAAGAATGCCAAAAGTTAGGTCTATCTTTAGTCTTCCCCCCCCCCCATCCGTGTAGTCAAGATTAGCACAGCATGATGGCCTTTTGTCACCATGTGCCGAGGTTCCCTTTAGCATTGATTAATACACATAATCAATGGGCTTGACCTTTTAGTTTTATCTTACCAATTTTTCTGAGTTCATTTTAGGAAAATGTCATACCAATTTTTCTGTGTTGGATATATATAGTCTTCAAATCATTTCAAATGTTGGTTTCTTTTGTTTAGAAACTGGCCCTTAGGACTATAACAATTTACTTCACCTAGTGATTAGTGAATGAATCCGAAGACTTCTTTTTAAGTGTCCCTGGCAGCACTTTCTCTTTTATCAAGAAATGAAATATTTTCCCTATATTTTTAATTTATACAGGAACAGGAATTGAGAAGCCTGACTACCATGCAACAATTGATGTTGATCCAAGCTCACATACTTATTCAAAGGTGATCCACGGGTTGGCTATGTCTAATAAGGTGATCCACGGGTTGGCTATGCCTAATACATGCATACATGTATTCTATGATTATATAGTGGCTTTGTCAAAATTTTCCTTTTTTCTCCTCAAGAAAAACAGAATCCTTTATTTTTATTTTTTATTTATTTTTGTCATTTTTATAAAGTTATGATGTGTCAACAAACAATCATTTAGTTCCTATTTTGCTAATAATCAGTTTTTGAACTTTATGTAATAAAGTTGAGTGGCATTACTGCAATACTTGAATTTCAGTATAATTTTTTAAATGCAGAAAAAGCCATGGTACTCTACTTCACCATCCATTCATTTAGAGTGAAAATTGGATCATTTATGTAAATGAAATCATCCGTCAAGGAAACAGGGATTTTGGAAAGTTTGTTTTGTTTAAAATTTGATCTGACTAGTAATGGTGCTTGCCTAAAGCACCATTACAAATTAATGATGCTCTATAAATTTTTTATTTTTTATTTTTTATTTTCCATTTGTGTTGATGATTCTATTTTCTTTGTTTGTTCATCAAAGAGGATCAATTTGTGCCGGTAAATGAAGGGGATCAATTCGTGCCTATAAATGCTATCGATACAGAATATGGAATGGATCTGTTATCATGGAATGTCTAAACTTTGCCTCTTTATTTTAAAACTGTTCTGTGACTTCCGTCAGCTATAATTTCTAATTCAGATGGCTCATCAACTTGAGAAAAACAAAATTCAGTACTTTAGGATAAATTTCAGACAACTAAAAAAATTCAAGCATACTGAGCATCATTACCACTGTTAATTCTTTCAGATCTGGTCACATATATGCAATTGATACACTCAAAAATCCAATGGCTCCCGCTTTGCATAAAGTAGTTGAACCTGAAGATATTTTTTACAGAAGACTGGATTAGCATATCCACACATATCTCACTGCCTTGCATCTGGTGATTTGACGGTGTCTTGCCTTGGAGATAAATATGGAAATGCCTGAGGGGAATGGGTTTCTTCTGCTTGACTAGGAGTTTAATGTGAAAGGAAGGTACTATTGATCGTTGTTTGATTTATTAGTGAAATACACCTTGTTTGCGTAATACTTAAGCACATGACAATATTCTGGTACAATGTCAATTGCCATCTTTACATTCACTCTTTTTGATTTATTTTGTTTGAAAATAGCATTTTAAAATAAATGGATTTGAAAATATCATATTTTGTCAGTAATATTTCAAGAGTTCGAGCATAGGACTTTCAGATAGTGGTCGAACATAGTCTTTTAGATCACTCTTCCTCATAAATGATTGTTATAATTACGAGGAACTGAACATGATTTATAAAAGATCATTTGAGCACTTACCTAGGATGGAGTCAGCTACATACATGGTTTGTAAAGATCCAAAAATTGTAATCGCGTGAGCAGACAAGCTCATTATCTGCAAATTGGGTTATATATTGAACTTAAATTTTTTTTTTTATTCGTACTAGATGGGAAAAACCGGGGCATGGTCCGCTTTTTGGGTATGATTTCTGGTACCAACCCCAACACAAGACCATGACACGCACATCATGGGGAGCCTCAGCAGCTTTCACCCAAGGTTTCAACCTTCAGCATGTTTCCGTACTGTCCTGAAGTTCATCTCAAGCATTGTGGAAAGGGAAATTATTGTCCGGGATGCAAGCAGGTTTCATCTCTTTATGGATGGAAGATGTTCATGCTGTGATTTTTGGTGATGTTGCAATTTCGATTGTGTATATTGTATTTCTTTTCTCTTCTGCCATGTATTGGCAATTGATTCGAGATCCTAACTTCAAGGACGTTTTATGCTCCATTCAGGTGATTAGTTACAAAATACTACAGTTTTATGTTACCTTCAACATTGATGATATGTTGTTGAGTTAGAGGCTTTTAGAAGTGGCTGGTACCATTATGTGATGCAGCTCTTGTATGGGCCAATTTATTGGTAAAAATATAAACCATAGGACAACACTGTTGCAGTCATATTAACAAACTAAGTTGGAGCATATTTATAAAACTTCCTATAGTTATTTTTAATTTTATTGCCTATTCTCTTTATTAGTGTCCAGGCTCAAAAAACTAATTTTCAATTTTATTTTTTATTTTTTGGTCCTTTGACTTTTTTGTAATCTTTCAACAGGTAAGGATTGATGGAATTGACAAACAGCTAGTGAGGCCAGGCAGTCTCATTCATTGCAAGGCTGGTTGATTTATAGGAGTACTGCTCTCAGAAACATTTGAATACTTGGATGGTCTCCGAAACAATCAATCATACTAGCCTGCATTTCCTTCTACAATGCAGACTGCATTTCCTCTTCACTATCTCTTTATACATCCAGACTGATTCATCCAGCTTTGCTTCTGCACCTTCTGGGATCAGACTCGATGAAAAATGTCGCGGTCGCCTTCCATGCCTCCTTTCCGATACCATTGCCGCTTGCAAGACAGGTTAAGTGTCTTCTGTGGTGGCAGCCTCATTACTTTCTAACTAACTATGATGGGTGACATCGATTTATTGCTAAGTCGAACTAGGAATAACCTGTAGTTCTTCAGGATGTTCCCTCAGCATTTGGATAGTTTGCTTCGAGGTATGTCATCCAGTTTTGTGCCTTCAAGATGAACAACTATTGATATATTAGGGATGAAAATGGGGTGGGTTTGAACGGGTTTCGGGAAAGGAAAAGAAAAAGACAATACTTGCATACATATTCAATAGGTGTTTCTTTCAGACCGCTAATATGATACAATCGTGTACTGTCTTTAATTATAAAATTGAGAAAATAATAAATAAAGAAAAATGAGAGGAGGGTGAATGTAGAATGTGATTTACCATAAAGAATATATTTTATTTATTTATTTATCTATTTTTATTTTGTAATTAAAGACAATGTTATTTGTGATTGCACCGTAGTAGGTTGTAAGGAAGCAGCTACTCCACAGCTCAGTAGACATGTATTGTACAAAGAATTTTGTAAAAGGACCCTTCCAAATATAATATTGTTTTAAAGCATGGGCACTTCTAAAAAATTTATAAATATTGGATAGGTACTAAGCTGCTTTGGGCATATTTTATTTGAATTCAATCTCCTCGATCTTCAATGAATTGACATGTATTTTTATATGCAGTCATGAAGAATTGAAGATGATGAACATATGAGTTGTATATGTTGATATTGATTGATTGTATATCAGTTTATGTATATGTTTTTTAAAAAATAATAATATTATTTTAAGGTGTGGTCGAATTTTTTTCCATTATTTGGTATTTGTTTAATGCAAAGTGCCTCTAGTCCCAAGGTGTCATTAGCATTCAAAAGCCTTATAATTTATAAAACAATATCTCAGATCAATCATCCCACCCACTCTCTTTTACCAACCTTTGATTCTCCTTTATCTAGAGCAATGCAAGCTATTGTAGCCCTGTAGGGCCAACTTCATAATAATTATCGTCTGTTCTTTTTCATATTGATATATTTTGAACAAAAAAGTTACTGTCAAAATGTTAAAATAACCTCACTCTTATAATAAAATTAGAATAATATTTTGAATTTATAATATTATCACCACCGCTGATATGGATCAATAATAAATTAATATATAAATTTTAATTATTAAATCAAATATGATAGGTAGATATTTACTTACCAAATCAAAAATAGTAATTTAATTATTATATTTGATTTGATAATTAAAATAAAAAGTGTTCATTTATTATTGGTTCACATTAGACACGTATCAAAATAAAATATGATTGATTCTTGTGATATTAGAATTTTGATATTAAATTTTTAAAATAAAATATGATTGATTCTCGTGATTTATTAGAATTTGGATATTAAATTTTCAGATCAAAAAATAGAAAACACAGGAGAAATTATTGCATAATTTTGTGCTAATTATTAAAACTTTCCGTGCTTTTTGGGGAAATAATAATGATATTTTAGTGGATCTTTATGTTTCCTTTCCTAGTAGTACCGGTTTAAAAGTCCGCCAATAAAATCCCGCCACGTCACCAACAAAATAATCGTCCGGCGTATAGATCCTTTGTGTCGCTATCATAACCGTCCGATTGATAGGACTGTTGTATACGCTACAAGCGTTATTACCGATACATCCCCCCTGGACATATATAAAATGTAGTTTTTGAACATATAATATAATTGCGCCCACATGCACACAGCGTGACTTTTACAGAAATGTGCCATTACACGACAATGTCAGTTATTCAGGATAACACCTGGCTTCTTCGATAAAAAGCAGTAGTTCTCCAGCTTTCAGAGTGAGTGTGTGAGAGAGGATCTGAATTTGCCATTGTAGAGAGAGAAATTGAAGAGAGAGAGAGAGAGAGGAGATGGGTACGGATGTGGTTGTGATGCAACATGGTTCGAATGAGGTGAAACCAGGTGTGGACCATGGTTGCTGCAAGAAGGGACCTGGGTACGCCACTCCACTCGAGGCCATGTCTAAAGGCCCAAGAGAATCCCTCATCTATGTCACATGTGTCTACTCAGGTACCTTTTAATTTCTTCTCTCAATTATTTCTATTTGATTCTAAAATTGTGATCATGTTTTATAATTTTTTTTTCCCGTTTTGTATTTATAATGTTAAATTTAGTTCTTGAATTGAATCATTTTAATTGGGTTCAATATTCAGCGCATGTCTAATACATCTGTACAGATGACCTTTTTTTTTTTTTTTTTTGTGGTGGGGATATGAGTTTCATCTGTACATGCAGTAAAAAGTTTGCAGACAGAGTATTTGCAATTTTTTATTTTTCTCCATTTTGTATAAATTTTCTGTTGAGTTTTGTTGAATTTACGGAATTGCTTGCCTTTTTTTTTTTTTCACAAATTAGTAAAAAACTAATACTTTTTTTTTTTTTTTTTGGGTTAGTTTTTCCTCATCTGAACTTTTGGGAGAACAGAGAACTCATCATTTTTACACACCATGATAGCATCTTTGGTTTGCTAGTGTTTCAATTTCACTGTATACAAGGAGGTCATAACAACATTACATAAGTGTTTCCTTTCTGGACAAAGAAAAATGAGATGTATCTTAGATCTATGAACTCCAAAATGTTGGAATATAGCTGCTCATATCGATCTATTGACTATTAATCAGTAGACGATCAACATGCATCTTCGTGTCGTTTGTTGCTCAAATTTAGAATCATCCATCTTCAAGATGTGAGCATTATCACTTTTTAGAGGCCTTAAAAAAATAAATAAAAACCACTTTTGGTTATGGAAAAAGATATCCAGGCAGAAGACTTCCAAACAATTTGCATCCATGGGATGCAAAGTGCTGGGACCCACTCTGGGTCCCATCAAGTGCATCCTATGATGCAAAACCTTCAGCCGCTGAAGTCTTCGGCTCTCATGGAGTGGTCCTTTGGTTATATAAGAGACTTAGCTCCTTAATCAGATCAGCAAAGAATCTCGTGGTTTGACATGTGAGGGATCAGAATAATAAAGAAGTATATTCCACTCATGTTTTGATCAAAAAAGCATTTGCCCTGGAATAAAATTCCAATAATTCAATGTCAAAATTTTGGTACGATGATGAAAGAACTGGCTGACAAATTCCAGAAGATGTTTTCGATTTTGAGAGTAGTCACTCTATGCAAAAGAATGCCAAAAGTTAGGTCTATCTCTGGTCTTCCCCTCCCACCATCCGTGTAGTCAAGACTAGCACAGCATGATGGCCTTTTTGTCACCACGTGCCGACGTTCCCTTTAGCATTGATTAATACACATAATGAATGGGCTTGACCTTTTAGTTTTATCTTACCAATTTTTCTGAGTTCATTTTAGGAAAATGCTTGGTGTTCGGATTTGTGCACCGTCTGATGTGTCAAGGATCATATATAGTCTTCAAATCATTTCAAATGTTGGTTTCTTTTGTTTAGATACTGGCCCTTAGGACTATAACAATTTACTTCACCTAGTGATTAGTGAATGAATCCGAAGACTTTTTTTGAGTGTCCCTGGCAGCACTTTTTCTTCTATCATGAAGTGAAATATTTTTCGTATTTTTTTAATTTATACAGGAACAGGAATTGAGAAGCCTGACTACCTTGCAACAATTGATGTTGATCCAAGCTCACATACTTATTCAAAGGTGATCCACAGGTTGCCTATGCCTAATATAGGTGATGAACTACATCATACTGGGTGGAATGCCTGTAGTTCTTGCCACGGAGATCCGTCAGCAGCCCGTCGTTATCTTGTCCTTCCTTCGCTAATGTAAGAAGCTAGATCTTTATGTCGCTTTCCATGCTAACATTTTTTGGGTTTACTGTTAACCATAGTATAGTAACTACTATAAAATTTATAAATAAAAATAAATAATAAAAAATTAGTTTATCTTCTGACTCTGTTGAAATTTGAATTTGTATTTTGGATGGTTTTCAAATGCTTGTATATGCTGCGACCATCTTTCACCCTTTAGGCAATTCTAATAAGTTTATTTTTATGAACATAAAACTCGTCGGAAGCACCCTTAACTTCAATGTATCAATGAAAATGGTTGACAAGGCCACAAGGGCCCTTTTACATTCTACTGTAGCAGAATCGTTCTGCATTATAGATCAATGGACGTTGTTCAGTCCACTCAGATAAGTAGAATGCAGAGTTAATGATCAAATATTCTAATCTATATTTGTTCTTTGATTTGTATTCTATGAGTATATAGTGGCTTTGTCAAAATTTTCCTTTTTTCTCCCCAAGAAAAACAGAATCCTTTGTTTTATTTTTTATTTTTTATTGTCATTTTTATAAAGTTATGATGTGTCAACAAAACAATCATTTAGTTCCTATTTTGCTAATAATCAGTTTTTGGACTTTATGTAATAAAGTTTAGTGGCATTAGAGTGAAAATTGGACCTTTTATGCAAATGAAATCATTCATTAAGGGAACATAGCTTTTGGAAAAGTTTGTTTTGTTTAAAATTTGATCAGACTTGTAATGGTGCTTGCCTAATGCACCATTACACATTAATTTAAATTTTTTTTGTTTAAAAATTTATTTATTTTCCCATTTGTGTTGATGATTCTATTTTCTCTGTTTGTTCATCAAAGAGGATCAGTTTGTGCCTTTAAATGAAGGGGATCAATTTGTGTCTATAAATGCTACCGATACACAATATGAAGTGGATCTGTAATCATGGAATGTCTAAACTTTACCTTATTATCTTTGAACTGTTCTGTGACTTCCATATAATTTCTAATTCAGATGGCTCATCAACTTGAGAAAAACAAAATTCAGTACTTTAGGATAAATTTCAGACAACTAAAAAAATTCAAGCATACTGAGCATCATTACCACTATTAATTCTTTCAGATCTGGTCGCATATATGCAATTGATACACTCAAAAATCCAAGGTCTCCCGCTTTGCATAAAGTAGTTGAACCTGAAGATATTTTACAGAAGACTGGATTAGCATATCCACACACATCTCACTGCCTTGCATCTGGTGATTTGATGGTGTCATGCCTTGGAGATAAAGATGGAAATGCCGAGGGGAATGGGTTTCTTCTGCTTGACTCAGAGTTTAATGTGAAAGGAAGGTACTATTGCTCGTTGTTTGATTTATTACTGAAATACACCTTGTTTGCATATTACTTAAGCACATGACAGTATGCCGACATGTCTATTCTGTTACAATGTCAATTGCCATCTTTACATTCACTCTTTTTGATTTATTTTGTTTGAAAATAGCATTTTAAAATAAATGGATTTGAAAATATCATATTTTGTCAATAAGATTTTAAGAGTTTGAGCATAGGACTTTCAGATAGTGGTCGAACATAGTTTTTTAGATCACTCTTCCTCATAAATGATTGCTATAATTATGAAGAACTGAACATGATTTATAAAAGATCATTTGAGCACTTACCTAGGATGGAGTCAGCTACATTACATGGTTTGTAAAGATCCAAAAACTGTAATCGCGTGAGCAGACAAACTCATTATCTGCAAATTGGGTTATATATAGAACTGAAAAGTTTTTTTTTATTCGTACTAGATGGGAAAAACCGGGGCATAGTCCGCTTTTTGGGTATGATTTCTGGTACCAACCCCAACACAAGACCATGATAAGCACATCATGGGGAGCCCCGGCAGCTTTCACCCAAGGTTTCAACCTTCAGCATGTTTCCGATGGTCTTTACGGGCGCCATTTGCATATCTACAACTGGCCTGATGGTGAACTAAAACAGACATTGGATCTTGGAAATACAGGGCTCCTACCCTTGGAGGTCAGTTTAGGAAACTTCATCCGTAGCCTCTTTCTTTGTCGTTTCAAACTTCAAAGTGGCAGTTTTATGATGATCTTTTTTATAATATTTGCTATCATCATTGAGACATTTTGCATTGCTTCCATCATATTTATGTCATTTGCACTCGTTTGCAGATAAGATTTCTGCATGATCCAACTGAAAGTACAGGGTTTGTTGGGTGTGCCTTAACTAGCAACATGGTGAGATTCTTCAAGAACCCTGATGACTCATGGTCCCATGAGGTAAGCAGACACCATCGATCCACCTGGTTCACATTTTCTAAAGACACTTTTATCTAATATCCGGTAACTTTCAATTTAAAACACAGGTTGCAGTATCAGTGAAACCACTAAAGGTGCAAAACTGGATTCTTCCTGAAATGCCCGGACTTATAACTGATTTTCTGATGTCTCTTGATGACCGTTATCTCTACTTAGTGAACTGGCTTCATGGAGATGTCAGACAGTATAGCATCGAGGATCCTAAGAATCCCGTGCTGAAGGGCCAAGTATGGGTTGGAGGGCAGATTCAAAAAGGCAGCTCTGTACTGGCTGAAGCTGAAGATGGTTCGACGTACCAGTTTGATGTCCCAGAGATTCAGGTATGTATCATTTCCAGAGTTTAATTAGAAATTCAAGGCTCTCTTTATTCATTTCACTAGTACAATGTCATGGTATCACTTTCATCACTTGTGATAGAATAGGACATACCCTTGGCCAATTTAGACTTGTCTGAAGAATTATCGATGGGCTTCTTGTCTTTGTTTTAGGGAAATCGGTTGAGAGGAGGACCTCAGATGATACAATTGAGCTTAGATGGGAAGCGGCTCTACATTACAAACTCACTCTTCAGTACATGGGACCGTCAGTTTTATCCTGAACTCATGGAAAAAGGTTCCCACATGTTACAGCTTGATGTTGATACTGAGAAAGGTGGTCTTGCAATAAACCCTAACTTCTTCGTTGACTTCGCCTCCGAACCTGATGGTCCTTGCCTCGCCCACGAGATGAGATATCCAGGTGGTGACTGCACTTCGGACATATGGGTTTAATCAGAGCTTGAATCCTTTTTAAAATGGTCATGTTTAGCAATGAAAAAGGCATGTTTTGTCAGAAAACAATTTTATGTTTTGAGTTCTTGAGAACTATTTCTTTAGTGACAAACCAAGCAAGCCCTAGTTGAATGAAAACAATAAGGTATATATGTCAAGTATAGTGGCACTAGTTGATGGATGAAATAAAGGTACTCCTTGAACATACTACTGTAATAATATGAGCCTCTGATTTTAAATTTGCTGTTTAATTAAATTCTATAGGAACTAGAATTTGGAACTCAAAATTGGAGATTTGTCTATGGAAGAGCAGCTGCCATTTATATTTGACTGGCTACAGTGTGATTCAAAATTGTATTGGAGGCCATTTCTTAGTATTGGTCCTACTTATGCAGGGTGCTAGGAGAGGAAGACTGAAGAAAAACCTTATTTTCGCACCATTAACTTTTGGTGGTGAATGTTTTCGTATATTAACATAATTGAAAAACAGTTTTGTTATGTTTGGGAGCATCGAATTGGTGCCTTGATTTGGTATTGGAGGATTCTCCAATTCCAAATCAAAGGCAGTGCGGGCCAAACATAGCATTCCAGTTTTGAGATTGTAAGAGGATTTATGGTACGTGTGACTTGTGACGAGTGTGTGACATTTCTTAGGCAAACAAATATAGTTTTAACATATGAAAAAAAGATAAAATGACATTTCACAGGGAAGCAAAAGTAAGGGTAAATCCAGTGCATGAAGCCTTTCGCCATTGTAGGTCTAGGGGCAGTTTGGTGTACGTAGTCTTACGGAGAAATTGATTCTTTGTTTAAAGAATTCGTAACCTTCGAATCACAGTGAAACAGTTTGGTGTACGTAGTCTTACGGAGAGATTGATTCTTTGTTTAAAGAGCTCGGTAACCTTTAAATGATAATGAAGCAACCTTATTGTTGTATTAAGATAATTAATTTTTTTTTTTTTTTTTCAAAAATAATAATTCAACATTAGCACCTATGTTTCATAACGGTTTGGTATACGTAGTCTTACCTTCGCATGTGGAGAGATTGATTCTTTGTTTAAAGAACTCGTAATCTTCTGATCACAATGAAACATCCTTATTATTGTAGCAAGATAATTAATTATTTAATATTTCTAAAAAAATAATTCAACATTAGCACTAGGGGTGGCAAAATAGGTTAGGAACCATCAACCCGCCCATATCTGCCCGCCTTTTAATGGTTATGGGTGAACCATATTTAATTGAGGTGCAAGATGGGTTGGGTAATTTTTAACCACTTAATTTTAGGGTCAAGATGGGTTGAATATGGTTAACCATATTCAACCCATATTTCACCCATCACATAATAAACACACAACACATATCTATTTTATATTGCGCTCAACTCATTTCTCTCTCTAAAATTCTCTCTCTAAATCTATCTCTCTCTAAATCTATCTCTCATCAATCTCATTCCTCTAAGTTTCTCTCTCTAAAAATATCTTCTAAAAGAAATAAATAATTTAAAAAAATTTAAAAATAAAAAATTTTAAAAAATAATAAAATAAATTAAAAAATAAATAATTTTTTTTAAAAAATAAAAAAAGTAAAAATAAATAAATAAACTTTAAAAATATTACTTTTCCATCTCTTATTGCAATGAATATATTTTTCTTACTTTTTTCTATTTCTCCGAAATAAAGATCGGCAAGTAAAAAACAGAGAGTGCCAAATTTCTTAGTAGTACTCTTGGACCAGTGCCCAGATTTACCCACCTGGAGGAGCATTTAACAATCTAAAAATTTTAAAATCATGGCAACATGGGCTCAATGAACCAAGGATTGGGTAGTGACCCCCCTGTCTGACCACCATTTCAGTGGGGAGAGAATCAACAACACAATGCAAGCCACACCCACACCCACACCCAGACACACAGACAGAGAGAGAGAGAGAGAGAGAGAGAGAGAGAGTATAATCTGAGATTTTTTTTTTTTTTTTTTTTTTTTTTTTTTTTTTTTTTTTTTAAGTATGGACTCGTGAAAGGCGTAAGTGTTTATGCCCTCAACCCTGTTGTCACTTGTGGATTAAACAATTTTTTTTTTTTTTTTTTTTTTTTTCCAAATAAGTCCCAGAGACTCCACCTCCTCCATTAAATAAAAATTTACCTAAAAAATAATAAGTTAAAATTTAAAAATTAAATATATGTATATATAATTAAAAATAATAATTAATGGGTCTACGGGTTATAACGGGTTGACCCTGTCCATTTTTAACCCGTTCAGAACGGGTTAAATATGGGTCTTGACCCATCTTAACCCGTCCATTTTCAACCCAACCCAAACCCGACCCAACTCGTCCATTTACCACCCCTAATTAGCACCTATGTTTCATGGTAGGTTTTTCACTCCGCAAAGTGAGGAATCACCTGTATTGCTTCAATATCGTTCAGGATGTGTTGCGTTTGGTCATATTATTAGCATAGGAGTAAGTAAATGAGGCTATATTCTTTTCTTCTATCTGAACCTATTTTTGGTCTCTCAATCTTATAGAAAAAGAAGTACCAATAAAAATGGTTTAACATTTCATGATCAATACTTCAATAGAAATTTCAAAATGAACTATAAAATATATTTATATGTGGAAAAAGTCAAAATGTTGATGTGAAAGTGTTGCTACTTTTGTTGACGTAAAATATTTTTTTTTTATATATATATTTTTTCTAAATGAAATATATAATTGTTTTTATTTTTATTTTTCGGTGTTTGGAAAAGGTTCAAGTCGAGATCGAGTATGACGTGAAAAATAATTTAACAAGTTTCAGTATTTTTTTTCTTCGTAAATATTTTACGACAATCAAATACTAAAATATAAAAAATATATATTTTACATCCAAACCAACGAAATAATATTGTTTAGATTTTATTTAAATAAAAAATAAAAGAGTGCATGAAATGGTAAAACATGGGCAATTTTTAATGAACTTCCTCAAATGAGTTAAATTTGTCAAGTGATTACTTTTCCAATGTTCAACCATCTTCCTTTGGTTGATAAAGTCGTTTTTCTTCAAACTTGATGATAACTTTTAATTGGCAAAGCCTTTGTCTTCCATATCAAGTCATGTGATCAAACAATGGTTGACTATCCCCAAACACTTCATTTTTTCAATAAAGATGGCACCACATGCTTGTTAAGTTTGGACATTATTCCCTAAGTTACGTCGATTTCAAGTATTCTGCATATTAAATTACTGAGTAACGTGACACATCACAAATCATATAAAATTCAATTTACAACAACGTAAACGACAGTTAACTTAGGGAATCTTCTCCAAAATATAACATCAGATTGTACTATCACAGACTAAAAATCAGATATGCTATAAATTTGATCTTCTAGTGAATGCCAAAACTAAAAAGATTTAACGAATATCCCACTTGTAATGAAAATATACATATATATATAATATAAAAATAAAATGCAGCAACAGGCATTTTGCTTATGTGTCCTGATTAGTGATATAAAAATTCAAGCCTCTAATAATGCACTATCATAACATATGTATGTATTACATAGTATGTAACTGAAGACTTGAAGACATTATTATGATGGGCACACTTACATGACCAGTATGATCTCATAATACCATCATCCATAATTTTCAAAACAACCATATAATAATGTCATTGTGTGTATTAAATTGTTATACGAACCATATTATTCATAAAGATGTGAAAACTAAAATAGAGCATTATTTAATAAATTGTAAAGACATCAAGTTTGGTGAAGTGCGGTCCCATAGCTTCTAGTGTGGCTTCCACTATCACCTTCAGAAAAGCTATATACTCTTTTAAAGGGATTCATAGTGGGAAGAAACAAAGTCACAGGAAGAAATGGAAAAAGGATCCAATATGATGCCACTCCAATTCTGCTTTCTTCTAGTCCTTGGCATGGTGTGTCTCGGCCGTGCCGTTTCCAGCACGGCCGATGATTACGTGCCGTGCAACAGCTCGATAGCCGAGTGTAATGAAGAAGAGTATGAGACTTTGATGGAGTCCGAGATAAGTAGAAGGTTTCTTGCAGATAAGAAGTACATCACACCGGGGGCTTTGAAGCCAGACCAACCCGTATGCAATGGTGGGGCTAAAGGTGAATCTTACAGCAAGAGCTGTCTGCCACCTCCATCTAACCCTCGAACCAGAGGTTGCCCTAAATATTATCATTGCAGGGATGATTCATGATCTTATGTTACATGTTATGTTCATTGTGAGCTATATGTATCTATGTTTCTCTCTCTATTTCTCAAGCATTATGCCAACAATTCCTATTCATTCATGACAACATCGTGAATATCCGTTTGTGAATGAAACACAAGTTTTTTCCACATAATTCAACGTTTTAGCAAATTATTGATGGATAATTATCATCCATAGGATTTATAAAACTTCTCTAATTATGTTAATTCATTAAAGGCAATTACCTAGTGAGATTCATGTTAATCAAGAGTAATAACATAGGATAAGAGTGGATACAACCCTAACTTTCTAACATTATTTGCAGAAACAGGCTGCTATCATATTCAAACCCGCATTTCCGAACTCATGATTATCTATACTATTTTTTGTTAGCTAATTTTGAATTATTTGCATCACTGCAGACAACTTTTGACTCTTCTATTGGGCAGAGGGGCAGTTAGGTAGTGTGACTCAGAGAGCTATGCCCTACCAAAGGTTTTCCTTTTTGACTCTGAGGGAGAACCAAATGCTAATAGATAGATAGAGATAAAGGGTGGGACAGTTATTATATGAGCTCTCACAACCTCCTGTCAAGGGCAACATTACAGACCATAAAATAGTTCAAGACTTCAGTAAATCACCAATAATGGTAGCCGCATCTAGGGATAGCAACGGGGCGGGTTTGGGCGGGTGTACCCTCCCTTGCCCCCGCAACCGTTTAAAAACCTCACTCCCGTCCCCGTCCAAAACCGCAAAAACGGGGGGCTTTCCAACCCATCCCCGCCCCTGTTAAATATTTTTATCTCTGCGGGTACTGCCCCGCCCCATTTAAGACCAAAAATTCTCCTCCATTTACTTTTTTTTATCAACTAAAATTATATAGTTATTGAAAATATTCATAAAAAAAAAAATATGGACAATAAATAGTTTAATATAAAATTTAACATTAAAAACATTCTATAATAGTAATTTAACAAAAGTATTAACATACCAAAACCAGACAAGCCAAATTACATTATTCCCGGTTTATCTATCTAATGAAATAAGGATACTTAAATAATTTACCTATCTAAACGGGACGGGGCGACCTCCCTCCGCCCCAAACCCGTGCAGGTTTTCATTACATCAAATTATTCCTGTCCAAATAAGCTAAACGGTCCCCCAAAACCGACAAAAATGGGGTAGGGCGGGGCAAATTACCATCCCTAAGCTCACATCCATACTATGACCTTTCGCTATCAAGAATTATATATATATATATATATATATTAGTTATTGCTGGGGTGGGGGCTAAATTAGAAAAAGTTTCATAATTGAAAAGTAAAGGATATGTACTCAAAACTTTCAGTTAAATAGTTGATTTTAGGTAGTCAATAGGAAGTATAGATAACCTTTTTCTTACCCTTTTTGGGAAGTAAATCACACGCACTTCTTATTTTCCTAACGTCAAACTTCAATTTGGGAGGAGGAGATACCACTTGGCTAAGCCCTTGGCATTATAGATAAAGTTACATGGATACAATTCATTTAGTGTGTGGTAAGAGTTACGGAGTAGTTGATAAATTTATCAGAGACCATAGGCATTGCGCCAAGGCTCAACCTAGTTCCAGTAGTGTAATTGATCTCCTAACTTGAGCATGGGGTTAATAAAACTTGGACATAGTTGGCCTACAAAAGATTGCATATAAGAGGATTTGTGGCAACTTTTGAAATGACAATGCATCAGTCAATTACAGATTCATATGGACAAAACTGAAAACATACTAGGGCCCACCACCATAACAGAGACCTCTACAAATTCCTTAAAAACCATACCAAATAGCAGCCAAAATCTAAGTGTCTATAAGAAAGCAAATAAATAGATATAGAAACCATAATTGCCACAAAAATTCTCCTCCGGGAAGCTCACCAGAATTTCAGAGGCAGATTTCTGAGAATCCCTTCGATTTCTTCCTGCAACGCCCGAGACAAATTCCAAATTGAGCTTCGCTTAGAAAAGTTGAAAACACACCTTAAATTATTTCTATACAACATTAAAAGTTTTTCACTATTATTATTATTATTATTTTTTAATTTTTGGTGAGAAACATTTATTTTCTCTCTCATTCAAGTTTTGTTGTCTTTACAAAAGCATACAACTCTTGCTTCTTTTTAAACACCTTTTCAACAATAAAGCTTAAAAATCGCCATGTTTATGCATTCTATCAAGCTACATTGTTACAATAGGTCATTTTTCATTCTTTCTCATGCTTCTGCCAGAAAACCGAATTGGTGCTAATAGTTAGTCTCAAAAGCAAATCTTTCATACAACATATACTTGAGCAGCGAAAGCCAATAATGAACACTAAGACATGACCTAGCTGTGGTTTCGTTTGGAGATCAATGCCATCAACTTGTTAATGCATGAATTGAACACAACAAAGTTGTATTTGTCCAAGAGAATTCATCAAAATGATAATAATAAATAAAAATAGCCAATACAAATTCAAATGGAAAGACGACAACAAATAGCACTAAAAGAAGAGCTTTATCTTCAAAAAACAAGATTAATCAGAGAAGATCCAAGTTTTGAGCAAAAGGTATAACTTTTTTACAGTTAAAAAGTGCACAATCATTTATATATATATATATATATATATATATATATATATATGTATGTATGTATGTATGTATGTATGTATGTATTGTTACGCTAAGAAGGTCATTGCTTACGTTATTGTTTTTATTTTTAGTTTCAAGTCAGCAGTCACTGCAAGCCACAAGCGTATTCATCACTAATCTTAATCTACTATTCAAGGATAGATGATAATCCGTGAAAGAAAGAAAGATTTCCATCACTAAAACTAATGCTAAAATAATGATAAATCTTCACCGAATGGAACTTCACAGACTCATTCTACTTCTACCCTCATTCAAGACTTCCAAGCTCTGCTCTATAACCCATTATTGTTAATGTTTCTTAAAGCTCAATATATCAGAAGAGGTAATAGTTGAGAGCATCATTTGCATTGCCTAAAATGAATTCCATGGGCTCTCTGCTTGGTTTTTAGGCTACAATAAATAAAGAAGCATCGTGTTTCCCTTCAATTAAGAAATTTTTGACCATTTACTTTTGTTCAAATAAACTACTTCATTTTCATGTGTTAGCTATGTGGAAGTTCTTAATCTAATTGCAATTTGGAAAAAAGGGGTATAGAAACACTCAAGACAACTATTTTAAGAGAAACTTCTATATAATTATACTATTAGTTCAGTTCAAGTAAGAAATGTCCAATCTTTAACTAGGACACATGAGTATATGTGGTGCACTGCAGTGGTGATATCTAATATTGGCTATTAGATGGGTGAAACTCCTACTTATGTAGTACAACCAAATGCGTTGATTGCCTAAAAACTTGTGTGGGTGACACTACATACAGCAATATAAATAAATTGATCATCTGAAATCCACTTATGTTGCATTTAGAGGCACCGAATCGGTGCTTCCAAACATAGCACTAAACAGTAAACAATGTTAGGGGTAAATGGTGTCCTTCGACATGGAACTCTAAAAGGTCAAGTCTTTTTCAGCCTTCTCAACCACCAAAAAATAGTAAAATACACAGCACTAGTTTTTTTCACACGCCTTTCAACAGTAAAGCTTAAAATCACCAATGTATGAATCCTATCAAGCTATGAAAACCAAGTTGAAGCTTATAGTTTAGTCCCTAAAGGAAATTTCCCATACTCTTGACATAGAGCATATTTGAGCAGCCAAAGCCAATCATGAAAAACCTAAGGCATGAACTGTGGTTTCTTTTGGAGATCAATACTATCTACTTGTTAATGCATGAACTAAACAGATTCGCATTTTTTTTGAAAATAAATAATTTTATTTATTTATTTTCCCATTTGTGTTGATGATTCTATTTTCTCTGTTTGTTCATCAAAGAGGATCAATTTGTGCCTTTAAATGAAGGGGATCAATTTGTGTCTATAAATGCTACCGATACACAATATGGAATGGATCTGTTATCATGGAATGTCTAAACTTTGCCTTACTGTTTTTGAACTGTTCTGTGACTTCCCTATAATTTCTAATTCAGATGGCTCATCAACTTGAGAAAAACAAAATTCAGTACTTTAGGATAAATTTCAGACAACTAAAAAAATTCAAGCATACTGACACTACAAGAAATTCAGGTTTTAGGGACAGTCGAAACTGTCCCTAAAAGTACCAAATCCGTCCCTAAAAGTCAAATTGGTCCGTCACTAAAAGTTGCGTGCCAAAAGAGCTTTAGGGACGGTCAAAACTGACCGTCCCTAATACTTTTGACCTTTAGGGACAGTCCAAACTATCCCTAATAGAACCGTCCCTAAAACTATTTTAGGGACGGTCCAGACTGTCACCAATAAAGTATGAATTAGGGACAGTCATTTATTGTATTAGGGACGGATTGACCGTCCCTAATACATAATTTTTCAATTATAATTATTGTATTAGGGACGGTCAGGACCGTCCCTAATACATTATTTTAATTATATATTTTAATATATTATTGTATTCGGGACGGTCAGACCGTCCCTAATACGTTATTTTTAATTATATATTTTAATATATAGTATTAGGCACGGTTGGGACCGTCCCTAATACATTATTTTAATTATATATTTTAATATAATATTGTATTAGGGACGGTCTGACCGTCCCTAATACATTTTTTTAATTATATATTTTAATATATAGTATTAGGGACGGCCAGGACCGTCCCTAATAAATTATTTTTAATTATATATTTTAATATATAGTATTAGGGACGGTCAGGACCGTCCCTAATACATTATTTTAATTATAAATATTGTTATATTATTGTATTAGGGACGGTCTGACCGTCCCTAATACATTATTTTTAATTATATATTTTAATATATAGTATTAGGGACGGTCAGGACCGTCCCTAATAAATTATTTTTAATTATATATTTAATATATAGTATTAGGGACGGTCAGGACCGTCCCTAATACATTATTTTAATTATAAATATTATATTAGACCGTCCCTAATGTATTATTTGTAAATTATAATTATTGTATTAGGGACGGATAGACTGTCCCTAATACATTAA